ATCCAATTCAGATGTAATTTTTAAGAGGTTATCAAACGAGCTATATCTGAATTTTTAAGAGGTTCCCTTTTAAATTTTCAATTAAGAGGTAAACAAACGGGGCCTTAGACAGTTAAAGACCGTTAAAAATTCATAAATGTTGTCATCCGACGTCCGTTTTTAATTGTATTTATATCGTTGAGTTCCTATTGACGAGATCTTCAATTCTCATTTAGATTGTGTCGGCTAAAAATCGATCGATCTAAAATTCAATTTTCGACTTGTATACCGCTACGCTGAATCTTAGAAAATTCATCACTTATTTTAGTGAAGTCAGATTTGGACGTTCTCTATATGCACGCTCTCGGTTTAACGTCTACTAATACTTTCATTTAGATCACTAAGGCTAAAAAGTATCTTATCAAAAATTTACATTTTACGATACGTGGAGTGGTACCGGTTTAATCGCAAACTTTAGATCGATCATAACTTCTTCGTTATAAGTCAGATTTCAACGTTCTTTATATGCACGAAATCCTTGTGACATACAATATAACTTTGGTTAATATTATTTATCCTAAATATTCTTCTATCAGAAAGTTATTTTTAATGCTTACTGTCACTAAATAGACTAGCCTGAATCTGCGGGCGTTGTAGTAACTGATAAACAATAATCAGTAAATACAAGTAATCAAACAAATCTACCAATCTAATAGGTTACTATAGCATAATAACATCCTATATACCAGGATACATAACATACCCTAGTGGGCCAACATTGGTTCCTTCAACCCACAAATACTGTGTTGAAAACTCACTTAAAAGTCTCAAAGATAGCTGAACTGATCACTGCTTTACATACTGGCTCTACAGGTCACCTATACAACAAACATGGACCAAGCTTCAATCTAATACCCAACATACCTCAAATTACCTAAGGTCAAACTTGGTCAAAGTCAACGGTCAAAAAGTCAAAAGTCAACATCCATCCATGTTACGCCATGCGTAACAGCCTGCAAAGAGCCAGCAAAAAGGGCAATTATGGAGCTATGCGCTACATAATTATGTTGGTACCAAAATGTGACAACCTGTAATTTCTATCTTGTAAAAGTCAAACTTTATCAACTAAAGTCAAACTTATCCAATAAAGGTCAAACTATTTCTTTATTTTTCTTAATTAGAGTTAAATTAATGAGTTATAGGGGTATAAACCTAGTATTCTTTGGTGTTGTGTGTTTTGGAGGGAATCATTTGGAACCGAGAATCTTCGCATGAGCCGCAAGCCTTCGATGGGCAGTAAACTCTCGGACCGCAAACGAGCCTTCGTAGCCGTAAACGTCTCTTGTTCTTGGCCGTGAACTCCTTCCACATGGGCACCTCAAAAGGTAGAAGCTTGCCATGGAACCTCTGGTGCTTTGTCTTGACCATCCTGCAGGTTAAACATCTCTCAACACACCATGCTATCTCTCGCTTCATGCATGGCTACCGATAACTAAGTCTAAAGTCTCGATAAATGACCATAAATTGACCACCAGTTATAAAAATTTTCATCATCAAACTACGTTTTTTGGAGATTGTTTTTTTCCTTCAAAAACAGTTTGTAATTTTGATGTAGCACCTAGTTACCGATATGTATTTTATTCTAGTATCTTGCATTTTGGCATTGGACTCGGCGAGTTGAGGCCCAACTCGTCGAGTCGGAGCGTATTGTACACAAAAGTTTAATGACCTACTCGACGAGCTCGCATCCAGACTCAGCGAGTAGGCGTTGTCCGGACAAAAACCCTAGATGAGGGTTTACACCCTATTTAAACCACTTATTCAGCCTCCCTTTCGTCCCCAATGCTTCCATAACTCCCCATAAGCAAACCCTAGCCATTTTTGAGAAGAACTAAAGCATTTTTTGTGGATCTTGCTAGTTGTGACCATAAGGAGGAAGGGAAAGGCTTGAGGAAACAAGTGAAGACCAGGGAAAACTGAGTTTATGCATCTTTCACGGTTCATTGGAGGTATAAATCTGTAACATTGCTCTTTCATTTGATAGATCCCTTTTTGGGGATATTTAGGGCTTTTATAAGCCATTTTTGGTAACCAACCATGATTGCAAGCATGGTTGGGGGTTGAGGCTTCAGAATCAAGTCTTTAAGGGAGTCACAAGGTAGTTAGGGGTTGCTTTTGCACCCATCTAAGGTCCTATGCATCATAAGAGCTTATTTTATGTCCTTTTGAGCTCAAAGTCCCATGCATGCACGTAAAGTTTGTAACTTTACGTGCTAGAATGATTGAAGGAGCTTAGATCTATCTTTTGGTTAAGAGTTGTACGCTAGAAATCGAGAAATGAGACTTGGACATGCTCGACTCGACGAGTCATTCTTTGGATTCGGCGAGTCCGAGGCAAAACTCCCCTTTGTTGTTAGGGTGAAGGAACCCAGTTGGGTGCTAGAAGGGTTTTTAGAGGGTACAAGGGAGTAATCCAACGTATTGGACTTAGCCTTAAACCTGGAGTTCATAGGACTCGACGAGTCCAAGGCAATCTCCTTACAGTTGAAGATGAACTCGACGAGTTGTTCATACAACTCGGCGAGTCAAGGACATGACTTGTTTATCAGAAGAAGATGAACTCGACGAGTTGTTCATCCGACTCGGCGAGTCGAATGAAGATTCATTCGATGTTTATAAAGAAAGGGGAACTCGTCGAGTCGTTACTGAACTCGACGAGTAGAGTCGTGGATAAGGACGGGTAATGATTTAAGGACTCGATGAGTTGGCGGCCCAACTTGGCGAATTGGGTCAACTGGAAGTTGACTTTGACTTAGACTTGGTGAGGGGTAAAATAGCCATTTTACCCTAAGAGTAGATATCAGGTTCTAACTAAATGTTTTGTCGGATTATAGTCGAAGGGTTACCAGAGCAGCAGTCAGACAGTTGCCAAGCAGTTTTCCAACAGTCAGCCTTACGAGGTGAGTTACCTTCCAGTAGCGGTGGGTCTACGGCCACAATGTCAGCCCACCAGTAGGAGTTGTATATTAGATGACTGTCTTTGTGATATTCATCTAGGTTTGCTACTACCTGATATGTTATGTGCTAGTATGATATGATGTTATATGCCAGTAGCAGTAGGGGAGATAGTCCCTAAGATTTCCGGGTGATAGGGCCAAAGAGAGGTAGTCATACCCAGTCATACTAGATAGAATATGATTATATGATACATGTTATGTGGTAGTAGTAGAGGGGTGAAATAGTCCCCGGTATCCGGTCGACATGACCGAAGGGGAGGCCAGCACCCATATATACTAGGCAGTATCCGATCGACATGACCGAAGGGGAGGCCAACACCCAGATATGCTAGACAGTATCCGGTCGACAGGACCGAAGGGGAGGCCAGCACCCAGATATGCTAGGCAGTATCCGGTCGACAGGACCGAAGGGGAGGCCAACACCCATATATTCTATGCAATATCCGGTCGACAGGGCCGAAGGGGTAGGTCGGACACCCAAATATGCTTGACAATATATGTATGATATGTGATTTTATGGTATGTGGTACGATGGGGGAGCTCACTAAGCTTTGTGCTTACAGGTTTCAGTTTTTGTTTCATGTATCTCTTCAGCGAAGGGGAAAGAACCGACGCGGTAACTGCACATCATACACACACCCCAGATTCCGCACTATGAGTTTCCTTGAGATTGTACTCTGACATTATCACTATTTTATGATTTGGATTTTCAGACATTATACATAGTTTTATGAGATGTTATGATTTGTCAATGTTTTTCCTACGAATGTTTTAATTAAAGTAATTTATAAAAATTTAATTTTTGGATGTGAAAATTGGGCTGTTACATTTGAACTAATTTTTTTCCTTTTTTCAGAAGGTTCAAGAATACATATCTAATTTGAAAATTTTGAAATTGTTCAGAAATTTTCAACTTGTTTTATTATGATTTTTAAACTTGTTAATAAGTTCCAAATTCGTTATTTGTGTTAGATATACATTGAAATCCTTTAGGTTGTGTTAGGTATGCAACGATTAGCTGATAAACTAGTTTATTTTTTGAGCTTTTTTATTTTTATTTTTATTTTTTTATGTTTGGCAAGATAAAAATAGTGTATAAACTAGCTTTTAATAACAGAACTACTTAGATTAATTTTTAAGGAGTTTTTAGAATTTTCCAAATATACTTCCGATTATATATGGAAAATATACTCTTCTAAATATCATTTTATATCTTCGACCTAGCAATATAGCATATCGAGTAATATTTATCAATCATCATTTTTATCGCCTAACTTATAAGCTAACAACTAACTTTTTAACTAATATGACAAATATATCTTTAATTGAGACGAGAGAAAAGACCAAAAAAAAATCAAGCTTTTTTTATTAAAAAAACTAAAATCCGGAATGAAGACGAGAAAGGGAGGGGGTGGTTATTTGCAAAAAGTCATCAAATGTGGTTATTCATTTCTAACATTTTCAAAAGTATCATCGTTTCGGTGAAACATGTTTGATAGATTTGTATTAGTAGTAGTTTATTTCATATGATTGTGGCATTGATCATGACATGACATGTGATGCACGTTTTGTCATTCATTGGTCTTATTCGTCTATAATTCTCAACTATATTTGGTCTTATTTATCTTTAGATAGTCTCTTTAGTCGGGACGTTATATGTGGATATGGTAAAGGTCGCAACGTGATAGCCATATGGTATAAATGTGTATGTCGACATGTTTTATCCAAGAGTTGGGTCGGTATGGATTTCTTTTGCAAATTTAGAACCATTATGCCAATCTTGTGCCTTAAGGGGCAATGGATTAAGGTCTGTACGGATGAATCCATCGTGTACTTGTCAGACCTTATGATTGTGTTTTTTTTTTTTTGAAATTCTTTGATTTCTACACCATTAAGTTTGACTCGTTAGTATCGATCTTAACCTGTTGTATCAGTACTTGTGTATGAGCCATTACTTATTTTTGGTATTATTTTGTGTTAAGCACTAATAGTTTACATGAAATTTGGGATTTTTGCATAATATGCTTGATATATTTTATATTTAAATTTTTTAACAATAAAAAACATGACTAATATAAGTTAAAACATCTAAGAATTTTCATAGGATGTGCATTTCAGTTAGGTCATCATGAAAAAGGAATTGTTAGGTTATGAGAGTCCTTAGACAATGAAAGAGATAACAGAAAACAACATAAAAACATAACTATTTAAGAACCAATGTTCATCAGATCTAGGCAACTAGTACATAAAAACGAAATATAGAGAGATAGAATACATATACTTATGTTCTTTGGTTTCTTTGATTTCGTCGGTTGATTAGACTTGAAGGATCCAACGTAGAATCTTTCTTGCGATCACACCCAAGAAACAAACTGCAAACTGGAATCATCCAACTGAAAACACACCACGAATCAAATCAATCTAAATCTAGAATCAACTATTCGAGACGCAGAGACTCCTTCGCGACGCATTAATCAACTTCTAGGGTTTTTACGAGCTTTGAGAGCTCCTCTAAATTTCGTAGGGACTTGACTGATTTTCCAACTCTTAATTCCAGCTTTAGGACTCTATTTATAAGGGGAAAAATTCAAACCCTAACAGATAGATATCAAGGCTCAAAATACTTATCTCTAACTTCGGTAATTATCATGATATTTAAATCATTTATCAAGAACATTCCAGAATCTCTAGATTTATTTAATTAAATAAAGCATAAATTAATTAACAAACTAGTCCCTATGATTTATTCTTTTTTCAGTTATGTTCATATTTGTTATTACATGTAATTTAAAAAAACACTGCTATTTATAGTAATAGTACCGACTTGTTGTGGCTTTGGGCACTATTCTTCAACAGCTCTCACTTGCACTATGCACCAACAACAGTCTGGTCCAATATTGACTAGTGCTCCCATTATCAATAGACAACGAGTGTGCAATCCTATTGTAACTACTACATTTATTATCATTCTACAATACACAACCTTTAGACTAGTTATTTCAAATTCCTTTGATCTTCATGATATCTTTATAAACTATCTTTATAAACGTGAGACATGGATCATAAGTCAATGTCAATGTTCAAGATTATGTTATTTGATAGAGACTTATGATGACCTTATCATGACTGTTGATCTGATCAACTTAGCGTCAGCTAGCCTAACCATTTAACTGTCAACATCACGATAGTCACATTTTTTGTTGACTTGTTGCTTCCCATTTCATAAAAAAAAATAGTCACAATTTGTTTTTTTGAAATTTGTATTTCTTTAAAATGAAAGAGCACAAGGTCAACCAAAGTTTTTATGAAAAAATCTTTTATGAAAAGTTATAATATAAAGTAAAGAAAAAACTCATAACGTTTTTATTTTGAGAATAAAAATTTTCAACCTTACATTTTTTTTTATAAATACAATTATTTTTAATGCTTAGATATATTTTACTTTACAAAAAATTATTTTATAGAAATCTCTATTTAAATATTTCCCAAATATCTACTTGAAGTATTATTCTCAACATTTTGATGCAATTCATTGTGACACTTTCAACATCACTTTTTTCATATCCAAATATCCAACAACATTGTTGTCTTGACTCCACCATATGCAACACTTCTTCTAGCAGATGCAACAACTCTATTATCATGAAGAATTTAACCCAAATTAAGATGCGCTATTCTGAAGATGTGGAAGGCTAATCTAAACAAGACTCCTTCTCATGATATTATCATGATATTAGATTACTTTTCATAATTATTACTTTCATTATGAACAAATAATGTCTTGCTGTGATGATTTGAACATTGAAAAACATGTTTATAATAATAGACTTCTTTGTGTTTGTTTAAAAGTTGGTTGTTTTAATCTTAAGACATTATATTGCCAAATCGTTAATCGTTCAGAGCTCAATTAATTTAGGAGTTAATGCGAATAATATACTAACATACACTGCAAAGCTATTATAATTATTTCTACATCTAATTGATTGATAACTAAACAGGAAGTGATATTGTTTTCTTGATTCGTATATATAATCATACTTGATATTTTATGTATTTTTGCAATTATTCTTGTTTTTCTTAATTACTTCATATAAACATTATTTATGGATCGCTATGCTTTTTAATCACAAGAACATTTTGCATTGCTTTGTTTTATATTTGTTTGTTTAATCTTTAAGTGTAACACGATTCTGACGTGGCTTTCTCCATTGTGCAAAATCATCCAAGGCGACAGTAGGATGGACAATGCAAATTAATACACTTACACTTGTGGTCCTCAGTTATAATACTATTAAATTATACTATTATGTGTGAGATCCATGTATTATATTGATTCATTTAAAAGAAAATTTTAATATAAAATTCAAAATATTTGAGAAGTTTGAATTTTTAAGAAAAATATTTAATTATAAAAATTAAAGTGTTTTTTTTTTTCTCTTTTCAATTTAAACAACTAATTTAGATAAATAAATAAAGGAAGTTAATGAAACTTTAATTTAGTAATTTTGATATTGGAAGAAAAGTCAATTAATGAAATTGATATGTATTTATTATTAGATTTAAATAATATGTGAAATTTAATAAAATATAAAAAAAAATCATAAAATGACATGTAGAATAAAAAATAATTTAAAATAACCATAAAATTACACGTGTCAAAATAAATAAGAATATAACATGTGGAAAAAAAGATCTTTATTTATTAGGATAGATTTATAACTTTAATCTCCCACTTTTCATTTTTACGGTTTAACCCTTTTTTTTAAAAAAATTACTACCATTTTGGTTGCCTTATATTTTAGACTAAACTGCACAAATGGTCCCTGTGGTATGTCGAAAATTGCCACTTTGGTCCAAAAAAGTTTGGACTTGCACCATAAGTCCAAAGTTTTCATTTTGTTGCTTGTTTGGTCCAACCTATTCTAATTTTTTTCAAAATGACATATTTACCCCTGTTAATTTGATTTCTCTTTTTTCTTATTTGTTTTTTTTTTTTTTTGAATTTCAGATTTAAAAAAACAAGAAAATAAAAATAAATCTCTCTCTCTCTCTCTCTCTCCCCATTATTTCTCCTTCCCTCTTTGTTTGTTCTTCGTGGTCGTCAAGTACCTTGATCGTCGACTCCACCACCGTCGTCGCCGTTAGCCACCGCTGCCTTCATCCCCTATCGTCTCCGCCACCACCAACCTTCGATAGATCTGAAAGCCAACATTACCCACAAAAAACCATAACCGATTCCCACAACTGGAGACCATCTTCTCACTTTCATGGTTCGTCTTCTCCATTGAAAACCATCTCCTTACCCCCCATTTTCGACAAAAACCATCACCAACTTCCGAAACCCTAGCGCCGCCACCTTATCTCATATGGATTAGGGTTTTCGGCGAAGACGAACGACGGCGACAGAGGGTTTCTTCGAAGAAAAAGGATCTGAGATAGACAATTCTCGCCGGAGAAGAAGACAGAAACGGAGGCGACGCTTGTGGCTCGAGTTTCCAGACAAAGCCTTCGTCGAGGTGTGAAGATGACGACATTTATCTAGGTTTTCAAATCGGGCCTACTGAAGGTTGAAGCCACCTTCGACATTGATATAAGTTTTCACATCTTCTACGCCCTTCGTCTTCTTTAATACATCGCCTCCTCCTTCTGTATCTCCATTCTTTTTTCGGCCACGCCATATATTCTTTGGATTACTATCTTCATTGAGTTACGATTCTGCTGAGAGAGATAAAAAAATAGATAGGTGGTGTTGCTCCGACTGAAAATAAATTTGTGGTGGTCGAAACCTCGAATCGCTGAAGTTGGTGATGGAGGCGGTGTTAGTTTCTTTTTGTGAAAGTTTAGAAAGGAGGGAGAGAGAGGTATGAGAAGGGGAAGTGCAGGTAGGGTTGATTTTCTTTTTTAGTTATTGTAATATTATAAATAGGAGAGAGAGAGAGAGAGAGAGAGAGAGAGAGAGAGAGATTTATTTTTAATTTTATTTTCTTGTTTTTTTAAACCTGAAATTCAGAAAAAACTAATAAGAAAAAAAAGAGAAATTATATCAACAGGGGTAAATATGTCATTTTGAAAAAAATCAGAACAGGTTGGACCAAACAAGCAACAAAATGAAAACTTTGGACTTCTGGTGCAAGTCTAAACTTTTTTGGACCAAAATGGCAATTTTCGACATACCACAGAGACCATTTATGCAGTTTAGTCTATATTTTATATAGTTTTAGTTGATTATTTATTTATTTATTTAACTTTTTGTTTGGAATTTGGTCACTCACTTTTCCATTATGGTCCATTGGTTTTTTTTTTTTTTACAAAATTGTAAAAATGGTCCTTGTGTTTGTTAAAATTATATGGTTTTGATCCAAAAAAATTTGGTGATGCATTGGTGGTCCAATTTCAAATACTTTGTGCGAATTTGGTCCATAACCAATATGAAATGACAAATATGGCCTTATATATATATATATATATATATATATATATATATATATATATATATAATATGTTATTATTTTTATTACAAGAAAAAAAATAAAGTACTCTCTCTCACACACACACACACGTGTCGGACCACAACCCGTTAGAACTCCACCTACCGGAAAACCACCAGTCAGACATCCACCTATCGGACGACCACTACCACTATCTGCCAAACCACCCATTCGTCTTAAGTCACAACCCAACACACGCTAAAAGGAGACCACCACCACCACTCATGCTACAACTTTCTTACCCTAGCTCCGGTGGTGGCTTCCAATGCAAGACCCATAGTAAAAATACACATACAACGGCTCTGCTACCCTAGCTCCGACCACGAAAAAGGCCCAGTAGTTTCGGATCGGGGCATAAGGAGGTCGATGATGGCGACAATTTGTTGGTTTCGGTGAAGGTACAAAGGACGTCGCAAAATTTCTCCTTCGTCACAACCTACGTCGCCTGCCACCGTCGGACGAACCTTCGTCTGTTGTTGTCTTAGATCAACGGTCCAACGTTGCTACCACCTGCCTTTTTGTCACAGCCTACATTGTCTTTCTCCATCTTCCTTCTTAGTTGCCACCCCTGTCTTCTTTCTTTGTTGTCACCCCCCCCCCCCCCGGTTCCCAGATCGAAGAGCCAGTTCATCAGAGAAAGAAAAAGATGAGGTAGATAGACGTCAAGTTTTATAGACATGTTTTCCGATGAAACTGGATTGTAGTGGTTGTCCGTCATGTTGTAGAGTTGAATAGCGCTGTCATGTGAGGGAGATGAATGGTTTATGTTTTCCGGTGAGAATTGCAGCCGCCAAAGGTGGTTCCAGTCACTGGTGATGGAGGGTGGGATTGGTGATGAAGGGGTTTCTCTCATCCTATAAAGTTAAGAGGGATGATGGTTTTTTTTTTTTTTTTAAAGTTAAAAACAATAAATTAAATTAGTTTATACATTTAAGCAATTTATAAAAATGAAAAATATAAATTATAAAGACATATTCGTCTTTTTAGGTGTAGAGGGATCAAAATCACTAAATATATCCGAAATTGAACCACTGATACACCATCAAACATTTTTGGACAAAAACTATAGAATTTTTGCCAACCTCAGGGACAATTTTTGCAATTTTGTCTAAAGTTTTTGGTCTGGTTTTTAATATCTATCAAGAATTTGGTCTCTCATTTTTAGATTTCAGTTCAAATTTCTTTTAAATTCTTTTTACAACTTTGTTTTCTATATTTTTAAACTTGTTTTTTTATAAAAATAATTTTTACATTTTTTTTTGAAAAGTTTTTACAAATTAGTTTTTTACGAATATTTTTTGGACATGATATAAAAGTATTGAATTGTCTCTAGCATAGCATGATAAAAAGACCAATTTACCCCTAATGTATGTGTGGATATAATATAGATTGCAATATTTAATAAAATATTTAAGCTATTGCCATGTGCAAAGAAATATATCAAGCTTTTAAACGAATAAACCATATACAAGTTATCGAATTCAACTCAATCAAAAACTCAATTTTAATTTTTAATCAATTAAGAACTACTTTGTCAACCATAAGCAAAGCAAAAGGAATTAATATTACATTTACAAGTAAAGATTTGTGTGTTACTTTATCAGGTTGTTGGCTTCTATCGTTGAACTTTATTAACTTAAAAAGATAAAAAGTAATTCTCTAGCTTCTTTCTGAACTCTCACTTCAATTAAATTAAAGAGTTCCTTTAGATGTGTTCTACAATTTCCTTTCTGTTCTATTGAAGTGCAAAAGCATCAGAATCAAATGCTTATGCTACAAGATCGAAGAGATTCTGGAGAAAAGAAACCTGATAAATTGAAGAGTTTCACTTCACATGAGCAGATCATCAAGAAATGGGGAGATGATTGGGAGCTTTACAACCCCAGAAGCCACAAGAAACGATATGATCCACAATGGAAGAATCCATAAGAACACCACCTTTAGAATATTCTTCCCTGAAATGCGTTAAACGACTTGAATCAGGAAGATCCACCACATCGAAGTTTATACATAGCAGATAAAATGATGATCGACTTACCAGTAGAGCGAGATGGGCCTTCGGTTTTATCAATTATCCATTCACCAGTCTCTCGAAGCTTCTTCTCCACATCCCCTTCCGTTCTCCCAATCGAATTCGACAAAATTGAATCAAAAAACGTTTTCTCTTGCTCAGATTCACTGGTGGTTCGATTTCACAACATGAAACACAAATTTCAAAATCGGAAACCTAAAAAATTCATAATTCCCATCGAATAGACAAAATTAACTACTGAATTTCACTTAATTAGATGAAGAAACACAACCTGTTGATGTCACGATCTCTGAAAATTCCTGCTCCAATAGCTCGTTCTATTTCTGCAACTGAGGGTTTCTTCTCTTGTTTTCCTGCCGGGATTGACGGCGGTGGTAGTGGTGTCGCGGAGTTGATCCGGCGAACTTGGGGTTTAGTATCTGGATTGGTTTTATCTGATAGAGAGGAGAGAATGAGTGGTCTGTTAATGGCGATGGAAGTTAAGCCTATCATCTTTCCTCTTTTGCTCTCCAACGACCAGATGAACACGCATAACAGAATTTTGTTATCGTTAATTCCATCATCTTTAGAAAAGTACAACCAAGTCCAATTCTTTAAATTAATAACCAATTAGTCCTTGTATTCTACTTGGTTTTTCAAAAGAGGGTATTTTTGTCTTCGTCATTTAATTTTATTTCATTTTCGTTTTTTCTAGCTATCAAACAAATATGCACTAACAACTCATTTATTCAACCAGAATAACCAAATTTATTATTATATTTCGATGTTTGGTTGATTTATATTTAAATTAAATGACTGGTTTATTTTTCAATCACCAACATATCCCTAAAACCCATAGTTTTGCCGAAAATAAAAATAATAACAGTAAAAAAACCAATTATACTAAAGTTTATCAACTCCTAACACGATCCAATTAATATTTTTTATATTTAAAAAAACCGTATAACTAAAAATGGATCATATTACAATCTTTCATCATATTCCACGATGGAAACGAAAAAAAAGGACGAAATTAATAAAAGAAATTGATCAAAAACCAAACACCAATCATCTCAAAGAACTCCAAGAAGTATGTAGCTAATCAATATATTATTTCAAAATTTAGTTTTACATACAAAAACATTTAAAAAAATAAAAATAAAAAAAAATCTACATTTCAAGTAGGCAACATTCTAAGCAAATGAAGAGCCTTGACCCATTCCACCCTCTCACAAATCACAATCCTCCTCAACACGGGAACCACCCCGGCCGCCACCATGGCGGGGTGGTTCTCCGCCTCCATACCCAAACTATAAAGCACCGCCAACCCACCTTCCACCACCCTATCGTTCCCCTCTTCCACCGCCTTCACAATTGCAAAAATCCCGCCTTTATTAGCAACCGCTCGATTATACTCCACAACCCCTTCCGAAACAATCCTATTCAACTCCAAAACCGCATCTTCTTGGATACGAGCGGAATCGGAATCCTTGATTTGTTGAATGAGTCTAGGGATTGTTTCATGGATTATGATGTCAGTATCGATTGGATTTGGAGTTTGTAAATTATTCTGTGAAGAGAGTTTGATGAGGCATGCGGCTACCCAATCTTTGTTTTGAAGAGGGATTTTGGAGGTGAGGATTTTGCGGAGGGATTTTGTAAATTCGGAAATGTTTGCGGTTTTTTTGAAATGTTGGGAATCGAGAAGGCGGGTGAGTAGGCGTGATGCGCAGGATACTGCCACCCCAGCTTCTTCGGTTTCTAGGGTTTGTAGTTCGGGTTCCTCGAATTCAATTTCGGATTCTGTTTCTGAAAATTTATTAAATAAATTTAATAAAATGGTCCGAAAAAGGCCTTTAATTTTTTCAAGTTTTCCGAAAAAAAAATCTCAACTTTGTCTCTTTTTTTTTTCCGAAAAAACCCCTCACATTTTATATGTTTTTTCAGGGAAAAAAATAAAGTCGAGGTTTAATCCGGAAAAAAACACAACGTAAGGTCTTTTATGAGATTAACCCTTAATTAAAAAAAATGGGTTGATATGATTAACAACTTCTTTTAATTAAAAGATTGCGTTATGGTTTTCGTTTGTGTGCTATGTCAAAAGTTACGGATTCAATCTTTTTTTGTATGGGTGTTTGTAAAGGGATATGTTAAACCAAGTAAAATGACTATGTTGCCCTCATATTCATCTTCTTCAAGGAAAAATTGAACTGTAAAGCATTGGGTGTTGTTGAAGTTTTGAGAAATTGGAGTTAATTACATAAACAAGATGAAGAATATGAGAGCAAAATAGTCATTTTAGTTAGACTCAACACATCAAGCTACAGACATAAGTGCAATAAAATTACGCTCTAGGGACTGAATCCATAACTTTTGACATACCACAAGGTAGAAAGTTGTAACTTAATCTAATTTGAACTTTTATTTAAATAAAAAACTATTAAAAAAATGTCATAAATAAGCAACAAACAGTTTTTTTACACAAAAACACTAAAAAAATGAAGGTAAGAAACTGGAATCGTTTGTTCACAAAATACCCTTATTTTTATTATCTTTAATGATATTTTTATTTTATGAACAAATCATTCCAGTTTCTTACCACTTGATGGAACTTTTAAAAAGAAGATAATTTTGTATTTAAATAAAAAACAAATAGTTTGTTATTCATTTATCTGTATTACCAAATGAATCCATAGTTCCATACCATTAAAGAACTTGTGTTGGAAAATGGAATTCAAAGCAGATTCGATATCAAATAAGACGATTTTGTCCCTACAACTCTCGAATGTTGTCAAGAATTCAAGAATTGAAGCTGCTTTTGTTTGCAAAACAAACGAAGAACTCTTCAAGATTTCAACTAATCGCGAAAGGAAAGTGGAATCTGAAAGATCCTCCACTTGGATCGTTTGCCAGCTGTCATATTCAATACAAAAAAACAATTCTATTATTAAAAAAAAAAAAAAAAAAAAGAACCCTAACATGCAAAAGAAAAACATAACAAACCTGGTTGACAATCTTGCTTCATTCCATCCTTTCTTAGATCCATTAACAGGTGCATCATAAAACTGTTTGTAGAAATAGCAACATACTTTTATTTCTTGCATTTTATATTTTTTATTAATAAATAAAAAAATGCTAACCTTTGATTTCATTTGTTTGCTAGGATCTAAAATCCGAGCAAGAATATTCAAGATCTGCATTAATCTCAAACCCACATCATATCTCATAGAATTAAATATACACAAAATATATTAGTTTTTATACCATGTAAGTTAAATCCCCATTGGCATCTGAATTTTTCAATAATGTTATCAAATGTTCCAAAACGCCCTCCGATTCAATTCTCTTGCAAACATCATTGCTGCATTAAATAAAGATATAAATATCAATACAACCTTTCAATTCTTGTAACTTTTAAGAAAGAAATGAAGAAATAGAATATTTCACCTGATTGAAAGCCTCTCCAAAGCATGAACAACACTTGATCTAACAGATTCACTTTCATGATCAATAATCCGAATTAAATTCTTCACAGCTCCCGCTTCCATAAAAGAGCTCCTCATATGCTCACTAATCGCCACGTCAGCAATCGCGTCAGCAGCTTTCACAACAGCCGATTCGTCTTCCAGTTCAAGAATCAAAACCATACGCGCCACACCATCAACCCAGGGCAAAATCGTAAATTTACTATTTCCATTTTCTGTCTCTGTTTCTATAGCTCCAATTCGTGCAAGAAACTGTTGTTGTGTTCTCCCAACTATTGCATTCTTTTTTGCTTCTTCTAATCTTGAATTTTGTTCATCTTCTTCAACATGTAACCCTAAAAGCAATTCTGATGCACCGAATCTTGATGGAGTTTTTGGAGTTTGTTTCACGTTTAGCTCGCTTCCATCGGGTAGAGAAGGCCAAGAATGTAAAGATGGGCGAAATGACTTATATGCCCCTGGACCAACTAAAGGAACTAGAACAAGACCTTCTTCTATTAAAAGGATTTTGTAATAGTCATCTTTTCCAAGCTCCAATAATGCACTTTGTGCTTCTTTTCTAATGATCTTGGATGCTTCAATGTCTGTTCTTAGAAATTTGGCCTGTATTTTGATTGGGAAAATAAATTCAAAAAACTGAAGCTTTCATTTCTTCCTATATATATAAGTAATGTATTGTAAAAATAGTCTCACCAATGGGGGAATGACACCTGTCTCGACCATAACTTTGTGATTAGCAACACTTAATACTAAATTAGCCAAAACACCACCAGATGCTTCGATAACTTTCATGTCTTCATCATCCAAGAATTTAATAAGTAAAGGAAGAAGATCAGAGTTTGCAATTTGGAGTCTAAGTTTTTCATCAACTGAGAGGTTTGCTAACACACATAAACTTTGCTCCTTTATCTGCCAATTTCAAGTTTTTAAAGGTTTTTTTGGGGATTAAATTCATATTACACTTCAATAACATAATTTTAAAGAGATTAAAATGATATCATACCTCAGAAGTCAATGAAGGTCTTCTCAAAAGACTAGTAATCTCTTGTATAGCTCCACTTTCTGCTACAAAATCTCTATAGATGTTAATTGATGATATCATTCTCAAAAGTCCTGCAGCTGCTTCACATGCAATATCTGACTCTGAGTTTAAAAGATTTACAGTGAGGAAAACAGAACCACTGGATTTCATGATTGTGTCAACACACTGTTTTCCACCCAGAGAGTATTTCCATAATGCATCAACAGCTTGCTCTCTATCTGAAAGATCGTTATCTAACCCTAGCATACGAATAAACAACCCCACATAACCATCACCGGAGTTAGGTGAGCTGCTCGCGTTATAATCCTGTCGATGTAACAACAGTGGCATTTTCACAAACACGTTGTGTGCAATTTTTCACCAAGAAAGGAAAGTAGATTAATTTCAAACTGTATAATCACACAAGCGTTCATTCATTCTAGATAATTGACATAGAATAAGATGAAACGAAGATTGATATGAACTTCGAAGCAAATTAGACGACTTACAGGAATATCATCGGAAACTTTTTGTGGGGTGTCGTCGTGAAATGTGCCACCGCTGTCACTACTGCTGCTGACCCTTGTGACGACTGGGCGTAGGGAGTGTAGTTTCAGGTTTGATGAATTGAACGAAGATGAAGGGTGTAAAATTTGGAATTTTCTTCTGGTTCTAGAGGTTTTAAAGATCATCGAAGAGGATGTTTCGACATGGGATTGAATTTGAGATATGGAGAAACCGAATTTGAAATGGGGATGAGTTGTTAAGGACATCATCTTGATGAGAAAGCAGTGAGGTTCAAACTCCGGACAAGATTATCAAAGGGTTTTAGAATTTCATGGTGTTCTGTGGGTTTAAATGGTACAAGCCTATTTGGGAATTGAAGCTTCGAGATAATGCATATTGAGTATCGAGTACGCCCTTTGGAGATTGTTATTCAACTCACGACTATGAAAAAAGAAGAAAATAATAGCCAAAATGTTTAAAGCTTTTCTAAATTAACATAACATAAAATAAAGAAAATCTTTCATATAGTTATTAGGCCTTCAATTTCATATTATTTGATTAACTGGTTGTTTCAATTTCAAAAATCAAAACTAATTTTCTAAGAAATCCGATGCTTATCTCTTGTGTCTCAATTTTAGAATTGACTGATTATGTTGTGGATTGTGTGTCTATTTGTTTCATTTTCAAGCAAGATTTGAACAAAACAATAAGTATGAAAAGAATTTTGGTTTTGCTTTCAAAAAAATTAAAGGAATTTGATGAAAAATATTTTAAGTTGTGTTGTAGTCGTGTTGAAGCCACATTTAAATATGGTGAACGATCAGATATTCAATGAACTTTATATGAAGTTAAATATGGTTAATGAATTTTACCGAGTGAAACTACTAACACCTTAGATGTATTAAAATATTTGAAAAAGTTAGTTGTTTTCCTAATGTAATTGATGTGTATAGAGTCTTTATGATTATTCTAGTAACCGTTGCGTCTGTGGAAACATGTTTCTCAACATTGAAGTCTTTAATGTTCTACACACGGTCCACAATGTTATAAGAAAAACTTAACGACTTAGAAATTATAGCTATTAAGAACATTATATTGGGAAATATTTATTATAAAGAGTTGGTTTGCTTCTAAAAATATTATGAGAGCATTGAGATTCATGTAACTATGTAAGATTTGATTCTATATTATTGTTTTTCTAATAATTATCGACTCATCATAGTATTAATGAATTATGTTTATAGATAAAAAGAAATAATGTATAAGGGCCTAATTTTATTTTTCACACATGGCCCCTAAATTAATGAGACATCCTCTATGAATGCCTAAAAGATGTACCGAAAAAGAAAAGAAAAACTAGAAAAAAAAAAGTGTTACGAAATACTATTTAGAATAGAAAAAAAAAATTGTGATGCAATAAAACTGTTTATTTTTTATTTTTTATGATTTCTTATTAAAAAAATATGTTTTCTCCAAGTTTTATTTAGGGGTCTTCAAAAATCATTTTTACAAACAAAAGAAAATATGTATGTCGCTAAAACGAAGATTTTATATAAAAAAAATCCGGTAAAAAATTAGAAGGAAAAAAAAAAAAAAAACTTAGATGGTGTTATTTTGTTTATTGGGGGAATTTTCTTTATTTTTGTCTATTTTTTTAAAGTAACTTAAAAAATGGTAGTATTTGTTTTTTTTCCTCTTAAATTATTATAAAAATGTTTCAACTTTCCACACCCTTAAACAAACAGGTGAGGCCCCAAATTGCACAGCATAAAATATTCTACAATAAAAAAGAGACACGTCCAAATAATAAGGATAACAAGAGAGTACATATATATATTGATATAAACACAAACACATGGTCATAAACAAAATGAGCTCATCCTTGAGCTTCAATATCCCAAAGGCTTTGCCTTCTCTTCCTCAATGCAAATTTCACCCTCTTTCCACTCCATTAAATAAAAAACAACCCCGTATCTTCACGCCACACAAGTCGTATGTAAGTTCAACTATCGTAACTTATACAGTTATCCCAATTATACTGTAAGTATTCTGACTGTATCTTCTAACTCGTTACAGAAACTCACAATTGTGAATCAGAAAAAAAGTGACAATGGATTTGCTTTGAACAAATCCCATTTGGCAATCCAAGTTGGAGCACTTTTAACAACCGTAAGTTCTCCTTATCATTCACCGTAAAGTCAACATGTTTTACTATTGTTGATCTGATTGATGTGAGAACAACAGATTGTCAGTGAACCGGCTTTTGCGATAACCGGAGTAAACGATGAAGAGGATATTGTGTGGGTGTTGATACAATTAGCCATATCTGCATTCTTCTATTTTCTAGTTGCACCAGTAAGTGAAAAAAAAAAAGATTTTTGTTTATTTTATTTTTTATCAATTTTGTGGATAAGTGATTTGAGTGGTTGGAATTTATTTGTAGCCATTTATCATGAATTGGTTAAGGACAAGATGGTTCAAGAGAAATCTTTTGGAGATGTATGTGCAATTTATGTTTGTCTTCCTGTTCTTCCCGGGGTTAGTTCTCATTCTCCCTTTTGTACTTTTTTATAAAATTAAATAATCAAGAAAAAACATTTTAATATCATAAATGGGTATCAAACTATTTAATTTTTTTTTTACAAAACACGATTTATTTTAAACTAGAAAGTTTTGTGAACGTCTCGTTTCACTACTTGAATTTTGATATTACTTTTTTTTTTTAATACTTGTGAAAAAACAAATAGTTTGTTACCCATTTGGTCATTTATGACACTTACCTTTTCTTTTAAATGGTGAAAAAAGTTAATGTAAAAATATAGTTAAGTGACTAAATCGATAAAATGATGCAGGGTGTTGTTGTGGGCTCCATTTTTGAACTTTAGGAAATTCCCGAGAGATCCGGACATGAAGTACCCTTGGTCTGTCCCCGAAGATCCTTCTAAAATCCGTAATAACTATAAAAAATTCCCTTGGGCTACCATTGATGATTATGAAGTCTAAATTGTTCCCCTTCATTTGTTATGTATCATAATAACAACACACATTTTACTCCACTTTTTTATTTTTTTATGTTTTCAAGTATATAATGCACACAACCAACTCATATTGTAATTATTCCGCATTGAATTTGGTCTGAACGTGCAAAAGACGTAAATAACCCCACCCATCATTCAAGATATCAAAGCCGAACAACTTTAATAAACCTTAAAGTTAAAGTCAACATCCACCTCAACCGAAAAAAGAAAAAAAAAATTGATTAAAAACATGTTTGATCTTCATCTATTTCTAGGAAAAGGGAAAACTTAAATAAAAAGCAACTCGTTCTCTCTCTCTTTTTTTTTGTTCTAAACCAAGGGTATTTTCGTCTTTTTTTAACCTCACGTTAGGGATTCCGGGAGGGTGTGTCTTGTTAAGTAGAGTAGTGGATGTTGAGCATGGAGGGTATTTTGGTCAAATCCAAAGATTCGAGGGTGGTTGGAGGGGTGAAAGCAACCGCGACACCAATGGCAATGACAATCAGAGCCATTCCTTTAACACATCCCCAGCCACGTGATAGTCTTCCCAGTATGACTCTACAGTATTTGTCTGCTTCTTTGTAGAGTCCTTGTTGGCCTTCAGATATTTCGCCACCTGTCAAGGCCTTCTCATTCTGTACGCACAAGGTAAAAACACATTAAAATTCGAGGGTAAAATGGTCATTTTGACCAAGCTATACGACTCTTTGGCTGGGGTCTGAAAGGGTGAAAAAAATATTATGTGAGTAGAGATGGAGGGACGAAAGTTGAAATATTATTTAGATGGAGGGACTAAAGATGTAATAAATGAAAAATGGGAGGAGATTTAATAGTAATAGAAATACCATGTTCTTGAAACTTCTGAGGGTTTCAGTTAGAGTGTCAAGAGAAGATTGTTTTACAGAAAGGTCCTTCCACTTCTCAGCAATCTTTTTCAGAATCACAACACTTGCTTCTAAATTATCATTGTAAACCTTTTCCTGCAAAAAATATATAAACTTTTTATAAAATCGGTACCAAAACATTAAATTTATAAACTTTTTTTTTTTTGTGTGAACTAAATAGTAAAAACAGTTTATATACAAAACTCACCCATAGTTTATAAGAATCAGGATTTTGAGTTAAACACCAGATGAAAATACCAGATGCTTCATTAGATAACTCTGAGATTCCTACCAAAAAGCAACATTAAAGAAATTTAGTGTTTTGTCTGGAAATGACAAAAATACCCTTGTAACATAAATATTACCTTCTCCAGCAGCTTTTAAGGAAACTGTCATGATTTGTTGAGAAACTTGTTTCATGGCTTTGCTTCCGGGTGAGCCTGCAAGTGCCACCTCTTTGAGTGTAGGATACACTGCTTCAAATCTTTCAGTTGCCTACACGTTTAAATAATTTAAATATATAATTGTATTTTCTTTTAAAAAAAAAAGAAAAAAAGACAAATCAGACCTTAACACGAGCTGAAGATGAAGGGAAGGTGACTCTGAGTAGCAGTTCAAGTGCAAATGGTGGCATCAACCGCTCTCCCTTTCGAACAGCAGCATTTACTAAAATAGTACGCGCCTTTGGGGCAGAGAGAATTCTAAAAATTAAAAAAAGAAAAAAGAAAAATTATAAGTTGATTTATAAATAAAGAAAAAATATTACTTTAGGAATGGTGGATTCCATTCCATTGGGAAAACAAAGAGAGGTTTTCTTCATTACACTGGAATGGAATTATGGAATGAAGCAACAAAGAGAAAAGTTTAAATGAAAGGTTGAGTTTAAACCTTTCCACTAATTGCAAAATTAGATCCCTTGTTTGAGGATTTGAGCCTGATTTGCCCCCAACTATTGGTAATATTAAATGGGACCAAGAGTACAAACCAACAGCCACATCTCCATGTGATGCCTACATATAGGAACCAAGGTTTGTGAAAAAAAGATAGAAATACCCTCCTACTCATTCTCATCATTGAGTATAGACTAACCTGTGCTACCATCCACACAATAATTGGAAGCTTGTCTTGTCCTTGATACTTTGAAGTTTCCCTTAGAGAGGGCAATGCGGTAATTAAAGCATCAGGTTTCCTTCTCAATACCATTGCTAATGCTACAAAAATCCCAACCTGCAAAAAGCACCATTTTATTCTGCTTCTTGCATATGTGTAGTTTGATGTTGTGAGAAATCGTATACTAATAATTAGACACACTTATGTATTTCCAAAATCATTTGATGGTGTGAGAAATGAATGAATGAAAAGAATTAATATATCGTGAAGAAAATGTTGGGGGATCTGTTATCTTACCTGAGATTTTGAGGATGGTTTTTGGGCAACTTTCTTGGATCCCTTTGCATTGCCTTGTTGGCTTGCAAAGTCAGCAAGAATGCTGTCTAAAGACCACAGGACAAAAGATCCAAGAGCTTCCAAAGATCGGTTATTGATCCAGTCAACTGATGTCTTGTAAACAGATTCAGGGATATGTGACACTGGATTCTGCAAAAAGAAAATGAATATTATGAGAGGAGGAGAAATGAAAAAGTTTAACTACAGCCAAGAACCATAAATAATTGAAATTATATTAGAGATATTAGGTTTGTGAGCTTTAATACAGAAAAAACAGATGATCATAAAAAGGTTCAAACTTTTTAGAAAAAGTAATAGCCTAATGGGCATCAAAATCATACAGTATAAAGTTTATTCCAGTTGAGTGTTGACCACATGACGAGTTTCAAAAGAACTTACATCTGCAACCTTTGCAACAGCAGATTCTCTCAATAACTTTACCCATGGAAACTGAGAAGCACTAACGCTAGCAAATGCTCTTCCAAAGTAATCAGCAAACCTCATCAACTGTATATCCTGTTGCGTCTCGAATGAAGCCTATATGCATAAGGAAATTCACGTGTTTAGTATTTATTCCCAAAAGTTCACATCAAGTATCGATCTAAATAGAATCCATAAACTGGAGCTGAAAAATCTCTTCTTTTTTCGTTCAATTATACATGCAATCGTGTCATGAAGAAACACAAACACCTACATATATTGAACAGCTACATTTCAAAATTAGAACAAATTATCAAATCTGTTAGAATAGATTACCAAAACCAAAGCTAACTCTATTAATTATACAATGATTTTCGGAAAATTCAAGAGCTTTCAGCAAATTATATATAAAAAAATCATTTCAAATCAACTGAATTACGAAATTAAACCTAAATAAGTCACTCACCGTCACATCGGACAAAAAACTAGCCAAATCGGCGGCATCGATCTTCGCCGCCGCTTCTGGAACTGTAACCTTAGGTTTCTTCACCTTCTTTGGCTTCGTCTTCTTCTCCTCGGTAACACCATTCCCAGCCGCACCATTTTCAACAGCCTCTTCATCGCTATCGTCATAATCAGAGTAGTTATTCTTCTTCGACGATCTAGTCGGAGGAGCGGGATCATACATCGCCAAATTCGCTAACCTCTCAGCTTCAATAACCTTCCTACGCTCCTCCGATTTCTTCTCAATTGACGTGAATACATTATCAACGGCGGGGATGGAAGATCCGTTAGAAAACACCTTCGTCGACTGCTGTTGTTGCTGCTTCGCCGGATTCTTCCTCTGCTTCTTAGGGTAAGTAACCTTCTGCCATCCGTGATTGTTGTTGCTTTCTTCAACAATGTTGTTGTTGGATTCGAACTCCATTTTCTGACTTGGATTGAAGAGAGATTTGATGGAGGGGAGATCGAGAATTTTGACGGGAAAAACAATGGAGATGCGAAGGGTTCAGTTTCGTGGTCGAATTGGAGACTTTTTACTAGCAAATGGAGAGTTGACAATGCCTAAATGTGTTCTGGACTTTTATGCCCTCTTGCTAGAAATAATTGTACTTTGTGGATCACTATTTTGTACTATGAGGGTAATTTAGTAATTACATCTCTACAGCCGTTATGGAGGATATGAGTTCTAAAAGTCATCATGTGAACAAAAATTGTCATTTTTATAAGTCATATATGTATATTTTTTTGTTCACATTGTCATTTTTATAAGTCGTATATGTATATTTTGAAAAACTATGTATCAAATTTATTGTAACACTTTTGATCTTAAAAGATAATGATTTCATAAAAAATTGACATGGTCTATGCTTAAAAAATGAATTAGTACCAAAGAGTGTCTAACATGTTCAATATTTAGACACATACCGACCTAACAAAACATGATATATGATTACACCAACTAAGGAGTTGAGATACATGTCTAATTATGTAGATGTTACAACACAAAACGGTCCAAATATGTTATCTTTCTTAAGGCAATTGTCTTCCAAAATTATGGTATTAACATCGACTTATCAACCAAACACTTTATCGGCTTATTACAATAGATGTGAGCAACATAAAATAATGTAGGTTTCACACATTGTGAGAATTGAAAATTTTATAACATAAATACATCAAATTACAAATGATCTTTACATAAATTCCACAATAACCATCAAATCTAATCAACCTCGCTAAGTGGGTAGAGCACAATGATCAACCTGTTACAACTTATAAATATACCTCATACGTAGTATTATGAATCAGGTTATAAGACAAAACATTGTTTTGTTGTGGCAATGATATGAATATCACTTACTAACAAGATCTTAGTAAGTTGCTCACACTCACCCTTTGTTTCTATATTCTTTTATCCAAACTTCACTCATGTAATTTGAGCATGAGAGCATAATTTCATACTTAACTTGGAATGAGATTGATAGTAGGGTTTTTTCTGGTGATTCTAGGTTTTATATGTTAAGATTATCATTACTTGAACCCGCATTTGTAACGACACAAAAATCAGGGGTAAAAATTTTATTTTTAATATAACTCAAACATTGATACCATTTATTCCAAACATTTCAAAACATTGTTAATTAAAAATATTTATCAGAGTTCATCCAAAAATCATTTGTTGCGGAAAACATAGGTATGTGCACTGCGATCAAGCTGGATCCTTCCTTTCCAAAACCATGATACCTGAAACCATAAACAAAATTGTAAGCATGAAGTTTAGTGAGTTCCCCAGAGCATACCCCACGTAATCCATATCAGCTATAACAGCTACATAAACCATAACAATCGCATAAGCATGCATATGCACATATAAAGATGCCATGGAAACCTTCCAAGGTCATATTCACATACTCACATAAATCATATCAACTACACAAGTCACGCATATAAACATATAGGGATGCCCTGGAAACCCTCCAGGGTCTTAGCCCACTGCCATGGGAACCCCCATATGGTCTTCACTAACTACCAATCAAACCATATATACAAACATATAAGCTAAACACACAAACATATAAGGATGCCCTAGAAACCCTCCAGGGTCTTACATCTGGTGCCATGGGAGCCCCCACATGGTCTTAGCTCAATGTCATGGGAACCCCCACATGGTCTTAACTAAGGATGCCATGGAAACCCTCCAAGGTCTTACACCTCAGTGCCTCAGGAACCCCTCGAGATCTTTACCTAGGATGTCGTGGAAACCCTCCAAGGTTTTACACCTAAGTGCCCCGGGAATCCCCCGAGGTCTTCCATGCAAGTATCATAAAGACAACTAGCAAATCACATACCACATAATCAATTAGCATACCACATAACACACTACCAACTAGCATATCACGTGATACATAATGGGCTGGCCGTGGTGCATTCGACCCATTGGTATGGTGAGGAGACTCACCTGGCACTGCTGAAGTCCTACGGATGAACTCTAACTGTTGGTTGATAGATTCCCGAACTGCCAACATCAAACAATACCCAATTAATAATTGGGTTCCAATACATAACCACAACTCCATACTTGGGGTAAAAGACTACTTTACCCTAACTTAGCTTTATTCAGTCCAAGGCCCAAAAGTCAAACCATGGACCAAAGCCCAACATATGGCCTAAATTTCCAAATTAGGCCCAAAACTCTACATGGGCTTATCTTAAGGCCCAACTGTTTATTCTAGTCCAAACAATTGGCATTCTGATGGCCCAATAGCTACTAATCCTCAAGGGCTAATTATGGCTAAATTTTCCAAATTAGGCCCAAGCCTTTTCAACGGGCCTTATCCTAAAGCCCAATAATTTCCTTAGTCCATAAATATGTTCCCATTTGGCCCGCGAAGGCCCATAGTGGCTCAGTCCAATAAATGGCCCAATAAGAACCCAAAACCCAATTAGGGTTTTTTTCACATAGAATGATGGTTAGGGTTAAGTGTTCTTACTTAACCCATTAAGGACTTAATCCATTAAGTCCAAATATACAATGAAATCGGGCTTGAGTCATATCTTCACTCCAATGGTCTAAAATGCTGGTCCCGATACGTCCAAACCAATAATTCCAAAATTAGGGGTTTCTAAACCCTAATCATGGTTTTCAACCCAATCATAGCCTAATAGGCCCAAAACTAAGTCCTTAGATCAATTAGGGCTTCATTAGGCCCACTAGAGTCTCATAAGGCCCATTAGGGTTTCATAAGGCTGGCACCACCCATTACCACCTTGGGTAGTGGCGCTCAACGGTGGCGGCCACCACCTCGTGGCGCTGGTTAGGGTTCTAGTCCAATCGAGTCCAAGCATCCCAAAACCAATCCAAACACTAACTAAGCACACCGCCACCCAACACGACGACGACAGCCACCACCTCACAGTGGTGGTTATGAGTTTCTTTCCATTATTCTACTTTCTAATTACATTTTACAAAGATTTAATTCCAAAATAAACACGCATTAAGTTAAACACACACACACACACACAACCTTGTGGTGGTCGGTGGTGGTAGATGGTGGCAGCCAGCACCTCATGGTGGTGGCGGTGGCTTTTCTCATGAATTTCGGCCAAACAACCCCTTACTCATTAAAACACAGGCACACAATCACTAAATACACACACATCCACCACCACATGGCGGCTAGTGGTAGCAGAATGGTTGTATACGGCGGCAGCCACCATGGTCGGCTGTCATGGTGATTGTTCTCATTTTCCAAGCCAAACAAACATGCACACATGAACAACAATGCATTAGATCACACATACATGTGATTCACACGTCGAGATGCACACCATAGCCTCCCTCATAGTGGTGAGTGTTGACCAGAGCGGCTAACAACAACCGTATGGGTGGCAGCAGGCAGATGGTGTGGGTTGAGCTCTAAAGCGGCGGTGGTCGGCTGAGACGTAGCGCTGAAGGACAAGGAAGAAAAGAAGTCACAACTACGACTTGAGAACAACAGTAGCGACAGGGAGAAAGAAGGAGAGTAGAATTATGGTGGCAACTGACACCCACGATTATCGCGTAGTCGACTTGCCTTTGCCGGAGGGCAGCTGTGACAATCAACGATGGCATTAACGGAGGAGTTGGCGGTGTCGTAAGGGAGGGTGGCGGCTGGAGAGATAAGTACAATTAAGGTTTTGTAGCGATGCCTTTAAACGGGAAGGAAGGTGCCATCGGGTCCAAGTCTCATATTCTTATTAAACTCGTGTGCCATATGCTAATTGCAGTCCTCCCTTTCTCTCTTTCTTTCAAACCAATGCCTAAATTTACCCTTTCTACACTGACCTCGGAAATTCCTTTCAAATCCAATCCAAAATTTACCTAACAGTCCCTCATCTATAAAACCTTTTCAACTTAGGTCCAAATGATACCAAACACCCACTGTCTTCTAAAATCTTTGCAAAATAAGTCTTGAATTTACACTTTAACCCCCGGATAATCCAAATTATAACATTTGGCTCCCCAAAACCAACATTCCGCTAAATAATATGGATTTAGGGCGACTATTCGTTCATAAATTTTTATTTATTTATATATTTAATAACCAAGATGTTACATCATTACCTCTTATGACCCCATTTCTTCATTAATAAGGGTCATTGGTGGGATAAGCGACTATTATTAAGTCATATTACGGTTGAAAAGTATGTCGGAAACCAACAAAGAAAGCAACAGCCTCAACTCACACTCTATTTGTGAATAACCTCATCTCTCAACATATAAGGCACCACACCAATAACATTAGTGATCATGGAATCCCTCATGTTGGTTCAATGATTCTAATGTATGTATTGTAAAACCATATTAGCGGTGTCAATTCACTTTTGGCTAAAAAATAATAATCCTTAATAACATTTGGAGTTGGGACCAACTGAATTCCGAGTTCACCACTCACTTTGTCCAACAAAGAAAATACATGTTGGATGTTTAGGTTATCCTAATATTTCGATAGTAGGAAGAAGATTTAATTTTTTTAATTTTCGTGTACTTCCCCTATATTTTCTCAAAGTGACTCTCTAATGATATAGGAGGAATGATGCCTTTGTACTCATAAGTTTCATGCATGGTTATCGACCTAAACCCTTATGTTGGAAACTCATAAGAAAAAAAAAAGCCAAAATTAGACAAGAGTTTATCGAGCAAGTAGACATGTACATAAAACAAGAATAATCAATCAATAGGAAACAACAGAAGACTAAGGCTGAACACCTTGGACATTTGATGGTTGGTATCCAAACCATACGAAGTTCCACCTGGACAACCTAAACTCTACCACAAGAACAAGTCGTCAAAACCCCACTTGAGACCTTAATTCCAACCATTCAACCAAGACAAAGAACACAACTTTGCTTTGTATATTCTTCAATTTCAATACTTCATTATGTGTTGATGCATGCGTAAATGTGAAAAATTGTATAAGTGGGGTGACTTGTTCAAACATTAATGTTTTTTTAACAGGTCTTGTACTTAATATGTAAAATTTATTATTAAGAAATTTTTATTTAAAATTTGAATTTTATTCACCCTCCTTGCATAAATATACAAATGTGTTGTTATAATCTCCTACTAAATATTTATAAACCAACACTACCAAAATAAGGTGAAAGTTTGGGGTTGGATATAATAATAATAATAATCATAATAATCATAATAATAAAAGTATGGGGATAGATATAATAATA